TTGACCCTGGTCCAAGAGTGCTTGGCATCCAGATCGATCTACATGGGCGAATCGGACTCTCGCTGAGCCGTTGTCGGTAACGAAGGAAGCGGCTCTCACTGGAAATGTACTCCGCGCTCATTATGTTGCTGATTTTTTTTTTTTTTAACTTTGTTATGACCACTGAGCCACTGCAGACACGAGCGGGGAGGCCACCGTCTCCGTCTGCGGAACAGAACTCAATCTTTGCGCCATCGACAATGGCTTGGGCTAGAACCTGCTCCGATTGTTCGGTCTAGCTGCTGCTCACCACGTGGACAAGGGCACTCCGAGTCAGCCGCCAGGCCGGAATCTATAACACGCATAACAGACGGACCCGAAGCTTTGCCAGCGCAAAAGTAGATGTCGTGCCAAACAAAGGACGCATTATCGGGTCGCAAAGAGATTCCACTTGTAATCAATTCCGAGAGTCCATGGCTAGGGTTGAGCAATCTGCCCCGATCTAGGCAATGTCTCCGATGCAGTCTCCCGGACCATGCCACGTGCGCAACAAACGACACACTTAGTCTTCTCACTTACAGCCCTTGGATATAACATTCCAGACTGGAGATGGACTGCGCGCTAATAAGTTCCAATACAGAATCCACTGCACCGAGTATGCGATTGGATATGCGGATGCAGACTGCATACGGCCTTCTGCCGGTCAGCGGCCCTGCGGTCCACTCGCAACAGAGCTTGGTGGACACGGCGAGGTTCAATGCACATCACCTTCACCACCAAGGAACATCGACCTGGTCCCAGATTACAGGCTTGCCTCCGGTACCACACGTGTACCTGGTGCCGCCATTACTGCACCATAGCCGTAGCGCCAAGTGCTGGCCAGGGACCAGGGTTGACGGCAGCTGGGCAAAGCAGCAATGGTCAACGGTCATTACCTCCCTATTGCGGCAGCTGCGTGGGTCTTGATGCACACCCACTGGGTCCTCTAGCTCACCCTGGACCGGTCCGCGTCACGACTCGCGGCTTCGTTCCCTTGCAAATAATCTCGGACATCGAGGCTAAGAGATGCTAGGCCCAGGGACTACGGCACTGCCCACGCTCCCGTAAACGCATCGCGAGACTCGGGGTATTGCATGGACACCGACGGTGCCACGCCAGCCATGACAGATTCAACATTGATCCTTGCCGTTGCTACGGTAGACCCGGGAGCCAGGAGCCCGGGCAAAGCGTCCCCGCCGTCCATATCTTAAGTCGATCGCTTGCCGATCACTATTGAGCTTTCTGCTTTGTCTCTGTCCTCAGAGCTCTCTTCTCTCCCAGCTCTCGTCAGGCAACTCCAACGGTCCAGGGCTCCATCACTTGGTCATACACTGCCGACAATGAAGACCTCCATCACCTCTGCCGGCCTGGCCGCGGCCGTCATCGGCCTCGCCGCTGCGGCGCCTCACTCCCAGCTTGACTGCCGGACCGAGGCCAAGCCCACTGCTCAGGTCAACTTGGGTTATGAAGTCCACCAGGGCAACTTGAACGTAAGTTTCGTAAAACAGCGACCACAGCCGACCATGCATGCTCACGCTTCGCCCGTAGGCCACCGGAGGCTACTACCTCTTCGACAACGTTCCGTATGCCCAGCAGCCTGTTGGTGAGCTGCGGTTCGCCAAGCCGCAGCCCATCTCTGCATACAGCACCACCGTCAATGCCGGCAGCGGAGGCAACATCCAGTGCATCCAGAGCTACCCGCAATGGATTATTGACCTGCAGGCGCAAGGCAACGGCATCCCAAAGGAGACGATGGCGCAGATCCTGTACAACCAGCCCCTCCAGACCGAGGAGTGCCTGCTCCTCAACGTCTACGTCCCGAACAAGATCCTCTCCAAGGGTCCCTCCGCCAAGGGTGTGTAGTCCTCCGACAACCATGGCACACATGGTGTCAAGCGCCCATGCTATTTACTTTTGCTAACACTTCTCGCCATCAGCTCCCGTTCTTGTTTGGATCCACGGCGGTGGCTACACCTTCGGCTCCAAGACCTCGTACGGCAACCCGGCCGGCATAATCGAGCGTGCTGGTCTCGACAACGACGAGGGTGTCATCTTCGTCAGCATCAACTACCGCCTCGGCCTCTTCGGCTGGCTGGACGGCGACGACGTGACCCCCAACCTTGGTCTCTACGACCAGAGGGCTGCCCTCGAGTGGGTTCAGAAGTACATCAGCCGGTTCGGCGGTTCGCCCAAGCGCGTCACCATCATGGGCGAGAGTGCTGGCGGCTCCAGCATCACTCACCACATCACCGCCTACGGTGGCAAGGACAAGAACGTGCCCTTCCAGGCCGCCATCCCCCAGTCCCCCGCCTTCCAGTTCAACATCGACACCGAGGCAACGTACGAGAAGACCCTCGCCCAGGCCAGCACCGAGAGCCAGCAGTCTGTGCAAAGCGTGTCCGACCTCAAGGCCCTGTCTAGTGAGCAGCTCAAGTCGATCAACCAGAAGGTCGTCCAGTCTGCTGTCTACGGCGCCTTCAACTTTGGTGTGTCCCCAGACGGCACCTATGTGCCCGAGCTGCCCCAGGTGCTGCTTGCCAAGGGCAAGGTCAACAAGGGCCTCAAGCTCCTCGTCTCTCACCTGCCGATTGTGAGCGAGGCCGCGCCCTTTGTGCCTCCCACTATTGCCACTGCCGAGGATGTCCGCACCTACATCACCCAGGTTCTCACAGGCACCGACTCGTCGGTCATTGACGAGCTGCTCACCACTGTCTACCCCAACGTCCTGGACGGCACCTACCCGTGGACAACCCAGTTCGGCCGCAGCGTCGTCATGGCGTCCGAGATCAACTTTGTCTGCACGTCCCGCTACCTCGCGACGGCGTACAACGGCAAGGCCAACGCCTACATCTTCGCGTACCCCCCGGGCTTCCACGCGGGCGACGTCAACTACCAGTTCTTCAACGGCGACGCGAGCGAGGTGATCAACGGCGTGCCCATCAACGTGACGATCGCGCACAACCTGCAGGACACGCTCGTCAACTTTGCGCAGACGCGCGACCCCTCGGTCAAGGGCCTGCCCAAGTTCCCCGAGTACGGCCGGGACGCCAAGGTGCTCCGCTTCTCGGACAAGGGCGTCGAGGTCACCATTGACGACCTCAAGAACCCGCGCTGCGACTGGGTCCAGAAGGCCATGGTCGACGGCCGTCTGTCGAGCAACCAGTGATTGTGAGCAGGTGCATGCGGAGCGTTAGTGATACGACCCAGCATGGCTCTTATGGGCAAAGCGCAGTACAACCTACTGTCTCTGGACGGGGCGCGACATAGACATACATATATATAATCTGCAATACATACATACACTAATGACCATCAATGCGCTATTTCTGATGCCTAACCTGAAGTACGTAAGGATTGTGAAGTCTGGTTTTGTCTGGAACGTTACCCCGTCACGAATTCCCGCGTGTAGTTGCGACGAAGAGGCAGCCATACGCAGGGGAGTCTGTCTGTCAGCAGGAGCGTGTGTCGCTGCAGGGTGTCCCGCTCCAGAACGATTGGCGCACGACACAACTGCAGGGATGTTGACCGCAATGGCGCAGAATGATTCGCTGCGATGCATCAATTGGGGATGCTCGTCCCAGACTGCCTGCATGCGGAGGGCCTCTTGTTCGTTCAATCGCCGAGGCTGGCTCCCGTCTGCGGAGTTGCAGCAGATCATCAGCACAGGCTGGTTTCACATAGCCTCGGATCTGCAGGATGTTTACAGACGTGAGCCAACCGACTACAGACCCGGCAGGCAACCGGCAAGCCTCGAAGGATCGTGCATTGCATTGTGGCATGGCAAGTCCGTAAGCTTTGTTTGCTGGTGCCATAGCAACACACGCACCTTCCTTGTCGCCCTCGGAGACTGTCCAAACGATCGCGACTTCCTCGACTTTAAAATGTTAACGGTGGCCCGCATGCTTTTGCTCTTTCCTTCGCTGTTCACTCCTAAACTGCAGACAAGCCAAGACGTTCAGTGCCTGGTGCATTTTCTTCTCCATCCTTCACTTCTCTTCATCGCAGGTCGACGACACGTTACTTTCGTTCTCTTCACGGTCCTGTGTCTCGGCAACATTCTCTGCACAATCTGGCCCGCGGATATCACCTTCTTTCGATTCAATCAACGCGCTATTGTCAGATTGCAAGAGGTGAGGCCGACTCTCTGAGATATTCTACTCGTCCCTAGCCCTTACATACTCACACATCGCAAAACAGCCGGTGTCGTCCATTGACCCCTTCACATTCAAACCACTTTCCCCGGACACACATCCATCCCGGAAGTCACGAACATTCCACCATGAAGGCCTTCACCTCCACCCTGCTTCTGTTGGCCTTTGCCATTACAATCACCATGACCCTGGCGTACCCGACATTTCGCCTCACCCACCGCGCACCGGACGTCGACATCAACGCCGTCCGAGCTCTGATGCCGCCTCGCCCCAGCTTCGGCGGTGGCGCGAGCGCGAACGAGACGGCTCGCTTCGTGGTCGGTCGGAACTCGACTTATGCTACTCTGGCAGGCCTCAATGTAACAAGGCTTGGTAGGTAGCAGCCCACATCACCAAACGTTTGTTGCTTGACAGGACTGACTTTTGGCGTAGACATGCAGTACTACCGCTCCGGCTGAGTGGATGTGCCGCGTGGACCGCACCAAAAGACCCGAATGGAAACAACCAGAGACTGGCTTAGGTCGCCTTTACAAAAGAGGATTGATGTCAGAAACCACAATACTTGCAACGCAACACATACGGATGATTGGAGCAACGATGACGGACGAGTAATGAATTACGATACCCAAAAAGGATCAGACACAGAGCCACAATTTTGCGCGCCATAGCTGCTTATCTTCCCTATTCCATGCAGCTAAAATCACGAATGTTCAACCATGGCCATACCCCATGAAAGAAACCAGTTCCATTAAATGGGACAATTTCGGCCAAATGCACTTTGATCACCGACATGTATATGTAGCGTAACAAACATGACGATTTCAACAACAAGCGGGGATAGCTCAGTTGGGAGAGCGTCAGACTGAAGTTACAACTTCGGTTTCTGTAATCTGAAGGTCGTGTGTTCGATCCACACTCACCGCATTTCTTTTGCAGTTTTTGCATCCTAACACCCTATATCTCGCACCTGGAGCCGAGGCCCAAGACTAGTTCTTTGTATTTTTTCTTCATTTCTTCATCTGGTACTGTGCGACAACGTTTTGCTTAGAGCACGCGCTCTCGCAATAATGTTTTGTTCGTAACAAAGCTCAAGTTCGCAGATCTGAAGGAACAGTCCCACATCACTTTAGTCGTGAACGTGGCTGGCATCACCGCTATGCTTAAAAGTTAGGCTCACAGCAGCTATCTCAAGGATTGGGAATCACATGTAGATTTCAGCTGAATCGTAGACAATGTGTGCCTTGAGTTCAAAGATTTGGGTAGAGATATTCATTACATCATTACTATGAACAAATTGCGCTTTTTCTCTTTGTAGAATTGAACGACGGCTGAACCCACTTAGTTGCCAAAGGCCTTGTCGTAGTCGGTCAGGGTGAAGCGGTAGTGGACCTTGTTGTTCTTGACGCGCTCGACAGCCTCGGCGCAACCCTTCTCGGAGATCGGAATGGTCTCGACCATGGGGTGAAGCTTCTTCTCGGCGGCCAGCTTGAGCATGGCGAGGCACTCCGGGCGGTTGCCGATGTGGCTGGCGCCGAAGCTGGAGCCGTTGGCCATGAACATCTGGGGCTTGATGCCGTCGATGGCCTTGTCGGGCAGGCCGACCTGGTGGAACTGGCGGTTGACCTTGAGGGTGGACTGGTAGGCCGCGATGTCAAACTCGTTGGTCATGTCGGCCGTGTTGAGCAGGAAGTCGAAGGTGAAGGCGAGGGGCTTGGCCCAGTCCTTGTCGTTGCTGTTGACAAAGTGCTTCGCGCCGAGCTTCTTAGCATCGGCCTCCTTGTTGGGCGAGTGCGAGATGACGGTAACCTCGGCGCCGAGCGCGTTGGCCCACATGACGGCGAAATGGCCGAGGCCGCCGAGCCCGACGATGCCGACCTTGTCGCCCTGGCCAACCTTTGCGCGGACGAGCGGCGAGTATACGGTCAGACCGGCACACAGCATGGGCGCGGCGAGGTGTGAGGGGATGGCGTCGGGGATGGGAAAGACGAAGTACTCGTGGGCGCGGATGTGCGAGGAGAAGCCGCCCTGTGACAGGGTCTCGTCCGGGCAAGCCTCCTTGGGGTAGGGCGCGCCGTACGTATCGACCATGTGCGGGCAGTAGTTCTCGTTATCGCTCTTGCACTGCGGGCACTTGAGGCAAGCCCAGACCTGCGCGCCGACGCCGACGCGGTCGCCAACCTTGACATCCTTGACAGACTTGCCGACCTTGATGGCCTTGCCGACGACCTCGTGCCCGACAGCGAGCGGCGTGGGGACATCCTCGCTCCAGCCGCCGGTGATGGTGTGCACGTCACTGCCGCAGACGCCGCAGCACTCAATCTTGATATCGATGTCGTTGTCGCCGAACGTCTTGGGCTTGAACTACAGGTGGGCAAGCAGGGTTAGTTTCTAACTTTTTATGGCACTGGGCGCTCTGGTCTTGACCTACCTTGTCCTTCTTAAAGGTCGTCCAGTTCTTGATGTCGTGGACCATGAAGCCCTCAAACTGCTCGGATGATGACATGCTGGGCGAGTGTTCTTAGATACAACCTGCGTAGGGGGTGTGAAGAGGATCGAGTTGACTGGGGCAAGATTATAGGTAGGTTGTCAATGTCGAATTGTGAGATTGGACATTCTCTTTAGCTATTGAGCTTCGGCCGCGGCACAGCAGGAGAATATATAGGCCTGTGTCCATCTGGGTTCAAGCTAGCCGGCTTCAGCGGTGTCAATTCGTTCATTGCACATGCCTCGCCCAGCTCGCTTCGAGTGTCCGCTCGGCTGCACCGGTGGTTGGTCGGACGCCTGGGACCCGTCCACTGTCAGGCGAGGGATCGTCATCACCATCTCTATTCCTACCGCCAGGACTGCATCATCGTGATGGTGGTCGGGCCTTGTGCGCAAGCGACTTCGATCTCGACCCCTCAGTGGGGGAGCAGGACGGGTTGAGGGCGGGGGGATCCGACAAGCTCAAAGGCGCCCGGGCGCATTGCCGAGCAGAGGAAAAAAGCTCTAAGGGCCTTTGCACATTCCGCAGGTGCTGTGCCGTGTCGTGCGGGCGGTGGTGCGGCACCTCGCAGCATGACGCTATGATACTGAGCTCTGTTGCGGCATGCCGACAGCGAGACGCGCCCGGGATCGCGTCGAGATGACGATGATGATGATGTCGTGCCGCACTTTTTCCCCACCGCGGGTAGTGGGGGCGGAGGTTCAGGTCCGGCCACGGAGCCGCGTGTGCCTCGCGTGCCCCATCGTGACTCGGTTACCGATCTGTGACCACCGTAGGACTTAGGCGATAGAGGCCAGCTGGGAAATAACAGAGGGCAGGCATGCGGCTGGCTTGTGAAAGAGAGAAGCTTGCGTGACCCAGTCAGCCCTAGGTCCGGGGGAGCCCCTGGCCTGCTTTATACACCGAGGGACCTGCCCATCAAGGTATCCTGATCGCCGTCAGCTGCTGCTTGGCTCCCGCGCGGCTGAGAACAAGCTCAGTCTAAAGACGTGGGGATGTGTGGGCGGACGGTTCGGCTAGTCGGTCGCGACTGAGTTGCGAGGCTTGGTGGTGAGGTTGGGGGGAAACGGCAAGCAATGATGCATAGAAACAGCAGCAGTTAGAGCCTGGACGGTTTGTGACGGGGTGTGGAATACTGGTCTACAAGGTACCAGACTCTCCCTGGTCGCGCCTGCCTCAAGATGAATCGGCATCAACAATTTCGGCTCATTTACACAAAGAAGAGGCTTAATGAAAATGGTTTTGATATTTTCACTCATGTCTTGTGTTCATTTTGGGCAATCTAGTCTGATCGTGGTCCAAGGTTCTTCCCTCTTGGGCATTCTTCTTGCCATCTCGTGTCCTGTTTCGTCCACAACGGCCTCTATCCGACTCCTGCTTCTACCTAAATCCCCAACATCTCCCCACCCATAGCCGACGTGTGAGGCCCTCACGCAGCCGGGAAGTTCCCGTCATCGCTCCTCGTGCACCCCGAAATGGCCGTTAGTTGCGCCGGGCACTTGACCTGGCTGAAGTTCATGGTCGGGTTATCGGCGTTCTTGAACCAGTCGAACCGCCAGTAGCAGCCCGCCTTGAGAGCCGCCGGCATGTTGGGCGAGTCGCACTCGGACCGCGACGAGACGCCGCCGTACGTCTGCCCGGGCAGGGGCCGCCCGTACTGCGGCGTGCAGCCGTCGAAGAGGCCCACGCCGCCGCCCGGCATCAGGATGTCGAAGTGGTTCGCGCCCAGGTCGCCGCCCGTGTTGGTCGTTTGGATCACCATGGACTTGCCGGCGACGGGGCCCGAGGTGAACTCCAGCCTGTTGACGGGGTGAGATGGAGGATCAGTGGTTTTGCTCGACGTAGAGGTGAGGAAGATGTGTGACTGATGACTCACTTGTAGCAGGCGCAGCACCAGCTCGACTCGGTCCCGCCCGTGATGGCGGTAGCCGCGAAACCGTCTATATTTCCCGAAGGTAATGAGCAGTCAGTATCTTTCGGTCATCACTTCATCGAACCGCTGCCATCCAGTGTTGCAGCCGACTTACAAGCCAGGTTGTCATTGACCGCCCACGGTGACATGTTGGCACACGTGAACGCCGAGCCCCCGTTACAACCAGATGCGACGTCCGGGTCGGTCAGGGGGTTGTTCTGCGCATTGCATGTTCCAACCGGCCTGTTGACCTGGGCTTTGCCCTTCCACGAGCACGACGGCTTGCAGCAATCCCAGTACCGTGTCGTCTTGCCGCTGCCGGAGGCCGCGGAGGCAAGGCCTGCGGCGGAACCGAGCACGGCGAGGAGGAGGGTTGTGTTGACCATCTTTTGATTATTATTCGTCGGTGATTCTTGTTGTTGTCCGTGAGCGAGTCTTGCACGAACAGGTTTGATGCTGTTGAGACAACCCCGGAGAAGAACAGTGTTTCGACGAGGTGCGGGCTTGCCGAGTTATATACCAGAACTTCTTTGTTCACAGATGGGCTAAAGCAATCAATGCAACGCAACCAGATATACAAACAAGGACACCGGCACTTGCACCAACACAGACCTGACGTGTATCCACCCGTGGTGCCGCTGCCATTCCCCGCGTCTGTGCCGAGATCCTACGGCTCTTGGTCCTCCGGCGATCATCGCCCACTCAAAGTCCTTCTTTCCGCATACCATTCGGCTTCATCTGCGCGGTACGTAATTAACCTGCTCGGTGTTTCTCCCGGTGTTTAGTGTAACGCGCACATCAGGTACGTACGGCCCTACTTCCCGAAGCCAAGCGGCGAGGCAACGCGATCCTCGCTCTCGGCCGTGGCGAATCCTGGACAGGGAGGACATCCCTTGAAGAGACATATTACAGAGTAACCAACATGGTCCAGGGATAGATTGTGGGACACGGGAAACCGACGTCTGGCTGTAAGAGACTAAGGGGGTTATTATTAGTCAAGGTCCTAAACAGATGCATCGTGGCTGCACCCAAGACAGGGCAGCCGAATTTCAGCAGGGCCTTAGAAAACAGACTCGTCGTCACGCACAGCCACGCCTCGCGCAAGACTACTATTTCCCAAAGTCCTCTGCGGTGAGACATATCAACGGCAACCTGCGCATCCTCATCCTCATCCTCATCATTTTCGTCTTCCTTTACAACTACCGCTCTCTCCCCAGCTCGCCCAGGTTTGCGCGCTAGAGGTCCCGAAATCCTACCCCAAAACCTCTGATTTTGACGTGTTCCGGCACTGCCGCCCGAGCCGTCTGACCAGGATTGAAGAAAACCCCGAGGTAGACGCCGAAGGGGACGACATGGACCGGAACGCGCGGTCGATCAACGGAGGTCCTCCCTCCGAAAAAACAGCGGGACCCCAGGCAGATTGGATCCGGGCGCCGATCGCCTTGGAGCATCCAATCCTACGGGGCCTGACGTTATTCTCGAGCGGGAGGGGCGGCCGGCCGTGACGCCGGCACTTGCTGCCGCCGC